TTGATCATGCTCCATCCCTTCCTCCGGAGCTGCTCTCCACGGGGAATGCCGTTGTGCATTTTGGTGATTTTTTTTGTTCATCTCTTTTTCTTTTTTTTCCCCCCGTTCCCCACACGAGCGTGTGTCCAGCGCATGGCGTGTTGTGCTGTGCCCGGGTGGTTCGCCTTAATTTTACCGATTCACCCGGCGAAGATAGGAACGGGGTATTACCGCGCGCACACACACGTGCACACACACACGTGCACACACACGTGCACACACTCGCACACATGTCATCACGGTTGCCAAGCACAGGCACCGATGGACCAAAATGCCAAGTGGCCGTCAAACAAATGGCACCGTTGAAGGTGTAGTAGATGAGAGTTGATGCATTTCTTGATTTGTGCGAGGTTGCAAGAATTTGGGAGAAGGAGCAATGGGACGGAAATCCGTGTTGAACGTGTTGATGATTTAGTTACCGTTAATTTCCTTAGGTTGGTTATCGCTTAACATTAATTGTATATCGGGACCATATCCCATATACAGCCACTACCAAAGCAGATGAAAACCCTACTACTGCCAGCCAGAATAAAAAATGAAAAAACTAAGTAATAAATGGCACCAAAATCAAAAGCACAAACTACAAAGAAGTTAGTCCATTATGTCACATCCCAATCTTCATGCTATAATATGGAGTAATCGATTTATCTCATGATTAGGTAGTATGCTGTTAACCACCATAATGTTATGTTGCCAAGTTTATGAATAATTCTAAGAGGTATTTTGTAGGTGCTAGATATATACACGGATATATAAAATTAGGTCATCATTGGTTCAGCCAACCAGGTGAGCCAGAGGTCAATGTGATTAAATGAAAATTTAATTTGAAGCATCAATTATGTCACAATTTATTAGTGTGCTATTAAACACGCGAATGTTCTTATGCTGTTAAGGTTATTAACGTCAGAATGGTTATATTAATGTTGTCGGAAGCGTATATAATCTCAGGTTAAATGTAATATTCGGCTTATTTCTTTCCAATTTGTTTTCAAGCCTCAATCAAATGATTAGTCTGCAGCTCATGCTTTTAATATTTAGAACATATCTTTGAATGTCGCTGTAAATAGCGTGTCTCCTTGACATATTACTCCAATGTTTCGTATTCAAAACGGGCATCGTGGAATTTGATATTCACTTGTTTGTTCAATATTCTTATGGATAGCTTGTGTGTGCTCAATGGTAGAAACATATTTGATAAATCCAGCCTTCCACTGGTGTTGGCTGGTCGCCACGTTGTCCGTTATTTTGCTCTCCGTGGCCCTTTGTGTACAATTGAAATACTTTGATGAGGCTGGTGGCAGTTAAAATTCTTCTTCACAAACAAAGTTTTCCTTAAATTTCGATTTAAAGCTTTCGTGACTGCAGGGATTCATCTTGGTTCTTTCGGTAAAGTCACGTAGAAGGGAAGTAAAAAAAAAGTTTTCCTTTTCAAACAGAATAATTATTGAGGCATTATTCCACACTCTGGTTCTTTTGGTAAAGTCACGTAGGTATAAAATAAAATAAATTAAATCACGACGTTTCGTGAGACGTCGTGATTTCACACATCTTAGCAGATGCTTCCACAGAGTACTTTTTTTCTCTTGATAAATGCATCTGTCCGGATGTTTGCAGCCTCTTGATGCCATCTCAGAAAAATGCAGATATGTATCCACTTAGGCAGCTGGAACTAAACTGAACCGGTGGGCTTAAGGCATTTACTACTATTTAAGGTATTTATACTACTATTTATATTACTGGAACGTTCTAGAAGTTTCTCCAGTTTCCTCTGCACTGAATCTATCTGGAATTTTCTGCAAAATAGGTAAATTTCTAAATATCACTGTCCTGGTCACAAAAGCAAAGTTTGTGGGGAATAATAGCCATTTTTTGTACTTTTGAGGCATAAGCAATGAGGAAATAACACTTACTAACCAGGAATAAAATAATTATTGTTACACAGTGTTATGTGGGGGGGTAGGGGGGGCAAATCTCAATCCCATGCAGACAGAACAGATGATATTAGTCCACATTTGCTCTCCCGCCTCCTGGTGTGACACCTCAATACCCACGGGAAGGGCGGTTGGCAACATTTGTAAATATAAATGTCGTTAAACCCGCCACCACCCGTAACAAATTGGCATGTTTTCGTTACGTGACAAACCTCACTAATTGGCTGTGTCGGTCGGTGCCAAGTTTAACGATACATTTCATATTGGTCGCGAAAGCCTACGAGTTAAACTGGCAAAATTTATATTTCCATTATTGCTGGAATGCTGGCTACGTGCATAGCCACCACCACCCAATTTTATCACTCTCAACTTAATAATTTTTTCGACATGCCTTTTGTGGTGTCAAATAACGTATTCTTCTTTTCTTGTTAACTTTGCTCCCCATTTCACGATGCGGTCATTACATTGTTATTTTATTATTTCATAAGGTGAAACATATATCTATAGAAACCACTTTGCTTCCTTATAACACTGCCTTATAATTTGTTCTTAACCTTGTTCTTTTTTTTGGCTATGAGGAAGCACAATTTGCATTGCCCCAGCCTGCATTTACTGCTTGCGTTGAAATTTCTCTGGGGGCAGAGACGTCCTTTGACAATCTGGGATTTGTCCATGACAATCGAGTCAATTTCATTTCAGACGTCTCCATTTGGGCTGTACGTTCTTTGCCTCAACTCTCTTTTTGCAACAGGTGTTCATTATCTTGTCCCTGCTGCCTGCCTGACTCAGAGACTTCTGTTATCCTTCGTTCTTTACTTTGCCCAAATGTACAAATCATACGCTCATCTCTGCACCTTTCACCTCCAATTCCGTCGAATTCCTCCGTTGCGGCGCCGCGGTGTGTTTTGCGATCGTTCAGAAGTCGGTTCATTTCCTGAAGGCATTCGGCCACCTCATCAAGTCGTCACGGCTCGCTGTTGGAGCGTGCGTTTGAATTATGGTCGGTGCGGGTTGGCGAAGGGTAGCTCAGTGGTTTAGATATCACGACCCACTGATGTTAACCACAGACGGTAAAACAACTCAGATCCGCGACAGTCCACGGCACAATGCGCTAACCACGCACACAATGCAGTATATTAAAGTTTCCCACAGTAACACATGCATTTACAACTAGCCACCTTGGCTCTGTGCAAATAACGATCATAATTTTTACGTACCTTCCCCCCCCCCCCCATAATTTGAATAAGAATTAGGGGCACATTTGCTTGCTGCTGCTTCTTCACCCGTGACTTTATTTGCTAAAATTGGAGATTGTGGCGTGTGTGCCGAGCGACGCATACCACAGCGCGGCCGGCGCTACGTGGGAGCGATGCAGACCATCGTTTTGTCATCCCTTCCCCTGCTGATCGATGGCCTGGCCACCACGCCTATTGTGCGCGCAGTTTTGACATTTGAATGCGTAACGATCGATTGCTTTCTCACGGCCCCCCTCCGGACGGGACACGGAGAGGGTTGGAACATGAAGAGGGATGGAACATGCCGCCCTTCCCTGCCGTTACACCCACTGCGCGTTTGGCACACCCGCGAGAATGGCCTGTGGTCATCTTGATTCCTGCGACTACCCTCCCCCCCCCAAATCTCGTAGATTTTTGGGGCAATACCTAATGGTCCATATCACACAGAATGCACCCGATTTCGTCAGACCTCAGACGCTCGGCAGGGTTGGGCCTGGACGGGCGACCGCGGTGCACTCCAGGTTGTCATAGGCTACTGCGGGGACGTGCTTCATGTATCACAAGTTACATTTGAATGTGTAACTTTATTGGAGGACTGTGTGTCGTTGTCTTGGTGTGGTCTGGGGCTGTTCTTGCTGTTGTTTTGCTGCCTTGGCTAAGCTTGGGAATTGGTGTACTTGTGCAATTTTACGAATTTATTCTTCGGGTTTGCTTTACTTTCCTATACTTTGCACTCCGATCGTGTTTTGTACCGTTTGTTGTCGTAACGTTCTGACCCACGCCCCTACTGGACATCTGTGAAAAAGAGCTTCATAGCTCATCGGATTTCTCCAGGATAAATAGTGTGATTCTGATGTACACAACGGCGAGCTGTGGAATCTGATGGGCAAAGAAGAGGAAACCGCAACAATCCTTTCAAGAAGAAAATCTAGCAACACTTAACGTAGCCCACTAGACCAGCATCATAACTCATCCTCGTTAATAGCAAAGGACAGACGGGAGGTCTCGACAGTCCTTTGTTGTCCGATGCTTGATGCTTGTGTTCTCCCACGTTGATGCTGTTCACCTTCATAATCCGCACAGACCAACGTGGTGAACTGTGGTTAAACAACTGCCCCCAATACCTTAATGGAATTGGTTGGTTCTCATCCAGCAGGGGATTGACAAACGTTCACCGAAACGCCCGCTTTCAAAAACCTCCCCCGGTGAGACGGTGCTGTGGTGTCGCTCATTTTTTCCCCTTCCCGTGGGGCAAATTGGGTCATTCAAAAATATATTGTTTTTTCTCTCGCTATGCCCACCTTTATGAAAACAATACTTTAAAAAAATATTTCAAGAAAGTAAAGGGGCAGCCCTGCAACTGCTTGCTCACACTGCTCTATCGCTGCCAGGATGGCCTCTAACTGGAGGAAACTACGCAATTCTAGACGGTGCGCTAGAAAGCCTCGCTTGTTGGTTATTGGGCCTGCCGCTCCACACTGTCCAGGTATCTCGGAAGAGGTGTTACCCATTTGTGTGGCTGGGTGGACAGCGGTGATTTGGAGTGGGTGGGGGCGGCGATTCAGAAACTCACTGCAGTTTTTTCTTCAACCGCCTCTCCCGGAGATGGAACCGAAATGGCCACCTCCGGATTGCAAGTTTTGAGCTCGCGCGAGGCGGTACGCTGCGGCAGACTCCTCGTGGCGTTCGCTGCTCCGCGAATGTTTTCTTTTTTCTCCCCCCCACCCCTTCCCCCACCCCCCCCCCTTCGAAAAAAAGTAATGACCTCCCGTTTTTGTTGGTTCACGTTCTTCAGGGAACACGACGTTGCTGCGATTGATGTCAACATGGGCTGCCCCAAGGAATATTCAACCAAGGTAATGGTGCTCATCATCCAAATGTCGTCGGCCATTTTAAATTACTGTATTCGTTCACGTTGTGTGCGCTGGCTTTTATATTGAATGCATTATTCATTGATTCCAGGAACACTGGGGACTGGCAAATGTGAGCTCTGTTGAATTTTCATACATTAATGGAAATACGGTCGACGGCCCGCTTGTGAATGTTATTAAACCCAATGCCGCTAATCCGGCAGGCTAGTTATGAACGTTACGATACCGTACGTCATAATTCACTAAAGTGACGTTGATATCTCCCTGGAGATCCAATGAATCGTTGCGATTCTGTGTCGCGATTCAATAAATTAATCCGTTCTATTCTTTGGTTTACCATTTTGGTGAATGTAGTGGCCACTGGTGGCTGCAGGGGTCACTTGTACCCCTTCCGTACAATATATGTGCATCAAAAAAACATTGGTTATTACACGCGCTCACCATTTGATGATTGTGAAAAAATTATGTAAGAAATTAAGTATTTGACGTGGGTTATTAGCGGGTTTGTTCTCACAATGTGATAAGGGGAAACGGGTGGTTCAGCCTGTGTTATTGATAGTCCTTAGGAAGTGGTGCATACGTGTTTACAACAAACACTTAACACCAAGCAAGGCAGCCACTTTAAAGTTCCAACATGCTGTAGCAAAAATTAAACACCCACTTTAAGCCACGTTAAGTCGGTAATGCTTCGTCGTCATTCACTGTTATTATTGTGGTGGTGGGGTGGAGGGTGTTACTGGTGGGGGGGTGCGGGGGAGTGAAATTGTAAATGTAGTAGTTCCTCGGTTAACGTTTTTAATCCGTTCCACGAAAACTACTGTTAACCGAAATAACTGTTAATCGAATATATAAAAATTACTGAGTCTGCAAGTGAGAGGCTGTTTCCGCTGCCAAAAGAAAACGCAATGCTAAACAAAGCCAGTCGAGGTCTAAACACACTAAATGGACGTCGCTGATTGGTCGAGGGAATGGCTCGGCTCACTTTCGAGTGCTGCGATTGGCCGAAATTGCCGCCCGCGTGCATATAACGTCCACGTACCGTAAAAAATATTTTAACGTTAGTTGAAACCATGGGAATCCGATGGGAGGCGAAACGTTTACCGAAAAACCGTTCACCGATGTCACGGTTAACCGAGGAATCTACTGTATAGGAAACTCGATCTGCCTTACAGCATTTGGTTTGGGTAAGAGGTAAAAAAAACAATAGTCTTGTAGCTTATAATTGTGCAAAACATGTATTTTGGTGGAAATTACGCATGTCGATGGCAGGTAAGAGTCAACACAAGGGGAAATACACTGTTGACCTACCAAGCAGTGCTCCTTGAGTGGTGGTCGTGTTACTCAGGGGGGTTATGGGATTAGAGGACTTTGACGAAGGTTTGAACTGGCAGGCTTTGAGCTCAGTGCTCTACAAAGATAACTGTCTGGAGGATGATGCAAGTCTAGTCAAAATGATTTCGTGCTCAAAGGGACTTTGATGTAAGAGTACATTGTTAATGATGGCAGAAATTCGATTCGTGTGCAGTATATATAGTGTCCATAAAAGTATCGTTGTCAGAATTATGATGAGGCTTCAGTCTGAAGCGCATTGGTTGAATTGTTGGCGGCGTATTCCTGTCCATCCCCCGCACCTCCGATGAGCAGGGTTGGCCACGTATGATGCGAAAAAAATAGTTCAGCATACATACATGTGTAGAGGAGTAGTATGACCACGTGACGTCTTGAGCGCTGTGAGGCGCGATGACGTCATGTCACTTAAGTGGGACCCCGTGACGAAAGCGGGGTCGTTGTAGGAGCCCGGGATGGAGAGCGTCTGAAGGAGGTCTCTCCGGCTCGTGACCTGACGGTGTTGGCTGATCTCCCGTCCGGGTTCTACGAGTAGGAGAGCCGAAGAGATAGCCAGGGCTAGGGCTCAGAGAAGTCTGCAAGAGCCGGCTAAGATTACGTGGGGTGCTGCTCTCCTCGGTCGGGCGGTGTTGGATGAGGCCCCGTCCCGACTCGAGTGAGAGAGCCCAAGAGATAGCCCAGGCTAGCAGTAGATAGAGCCTGAGGTCCGCGTGAAGGACCGAGTGTAGGGGACACCTACCTCTGGTGTGTTTGTTACCCGTGTTCATAAACCGGCTCAAGCCCTTACTAAGAGTTCAGTCTACGAGTCGTCCTGCACCACACAACACATGCATACTCCCCAAAAAGCTACAGTGATGTTCAACAGCACACAGCAGAAGCATTCAACACAACCACCCCAGAGAGATTGGCGAATCACCTGGGGGAGGCGTTTCTCGATACGGGTGTTTGTTCCGCCGACAGCAGAGCACACGTTGGAGGCACGGGAACTCGGGGCGATAAATCTTCTTACGACTGCCCGGGGGGTGGGGGGTGGGGGGTGGGTGGGGGGCAGACGTGCGGTCAAAATGACAGAGGGGGATGTGCACTTCTTGAGAAAGCTTGAAACTTGTCTTGCAGGGGTTTTAAGACGTGCCGGTTTCAAAGATTAAGTGAAGCAGGTTTTGAAAGTGAATTTTTCTTGTTTAAAGTTGTCCGTGATTTTTTTATTATTATCATATTTGGAAGTTTTTTTCTTTCAGAATCACTATTTTTAAAACGAAAGTATATAATTTGCACGATGTAATCCATTTTACTTGAAGGTCTTCCTAAATACTTTTGTTTTTACCAGCTTGCTTTATATTTCGCATATCGTAAATCGCACATTCATATTAAAGAGTGCCTCTCAGAAATTAAACAAATGACTTGGTGATGCCGCTGCGATGGCAGTGGTGCACAAGCACAGTTAACAACAACACTCAACACACTCGTCAACAGGACTGTGGCCTTAAATTTTAAAAAATATATAAAATTGGCAACGTTTCATGCAGTGGCCCTACTTCCGATCACATCTCACGAGTGTGTTGAGTGTTTTCTTGTTGCTATATCTCAAATACATTGTTGGTTATGATAAGATAATTACTTAACCTTAGAAAAAAACTGCTCCTAAAGCTACGTAACTAATTTACGTGTGATTTAATTTTGGAACTTTGTGACGTATTTCAGCGTGTTCTAACCTTATAGTGACCTTGTGGATGCGAGGAACACAAATTTAAGAAGCTAAAAAAATGCTCAAGATAATTAAACTTGCATTTTCTCTATCAGAAACCAGCGTAAAACAGACATACTGCCCGTTGAATGTTCTCTGCCTTGTAGATCCAGGCAAGGGCAGATATTTCTCTCATCCAAAAATGTGGAGGACATGAGCTGAAAATATCAAGGAGTTGTTGAAAGACTTTGATGTATATATATGTCAAGTTTAGATGATGGATGTAAAAATTGAAGGAATTCTTAGAAAACATAATGCCAAGTGGTGCAAATGTTACATTTTGGCCAGCAAGTTTGAAGTCTACTGGGATAAGAATTGATAAAGATACACCTAGAGAGATGGCCAGTACACCAGGAACACTTTCAGCCTTTTCCCATTTCGATGACGTATGTGTATGTCATCAGTTTTTCATTCAATTCCGGAAAAAATGCGAAAGTAAAATAACTTTATATTCTTGGTTTTTTCGGTAGAGTCACATAGAAGGAAAATAATAAAAATATAAAACAATAAAATTCTCACGACGTTTCGACTGCAACACAAGCAATCATCATCAGGTGTGAAATCCACGGCAAGAAATTTCGAACAAATTGGCGTTTTTTTCTTAACGTCAGCACCACGGACAGCGATTTGGCAGTTGGTCAGATGGAGGAGACCATCTATGTTTGGAAATCGCTGTCCGTGGCGCTGAAGTTAAGAAAAAACCGCCACTTTTTTCAAATTTTCTTGCTGTGGATTTCACACCTTATGATGATTGCTTGTGTTGCAGTAGAAACGTCGTGAGAATTGTATTGTTTAATATTTGTATTGTTTTATTATTTCCCTTCTAAGTGACTTTACCGAAAGAACCAAGAATATGAATCCCTGCAGTCACGAAAGCTTTAAATCAAAATAAAATAACTTTATCGGTACCGAGGCTCCCACAAGGCCATGCAGGAGTGCGTGTAGCACAGTTTGGTGCCAGCTATCACAGATTGCGGTCGTGTCGCTGCAGTTCTCTGCGGTGAGTACAATATCTTTAAAAACAACTGCGCTATGCCTCTCAATTAAATTAACGCTGAACGCTGGCTCGCTCCGAGATTCAACGGTAAACATTACACGCCCTACAACTTGCAGACGTCTCGGAACAGCAAACGATGAAGCAGTTTCTCTTCTCTCCCGGTGAACGATGGCAACAGAGATAACAAATATACGCAAAAACGGTGTCTCTTTCGTGGCATTATAGTACGACGTGCTTTTTACGAAGCAGTGCATAGAAAATGGCCCCAGAAGTGAATTACAAAAATCAAAACTGATGGATGAGCTTTTTGCCATGGTCAGGCTCGGCTCGTGATCAGCTGTGCTGCGAGATGACAGTGTTTTGCTCGAAGCGTGCTGACGGGAGCTGGGAGACTGGGAAGTTTTCAGATCTTGCATGCTCATCTCAGGGTGTCAAGGCTCTCGCTGTGCACTCGCGAACTAGTTCAGGCCCCTGTCCCTGCCACGCTGATTGCGTACCTTGTAAATGTCAACGAGGCTTGCGAGACACTCACGAGAGAGAATGTCCCGTGTGCTTTTTACGTAAAATAAAGGTACCCAACGACGTTGTTTTCGAGAGTAGGCCATTCTGCGTCAACGTCATGGCCAATTTAAATGGAAAATGACCGATGATTACCCGTGGATTTTTTTATTCCCAGTAAAGACGGAACAGGGCCTCTTTTCACAAATTGTATTTACGTGCTCAAAAAAGTTACCCTGCAAGAGAATGCACATTACTCCTCTAATTGAAGACAAGTTGAAGATTATCAGTGGCTAGTACGGCGTGTACAAGACGTGCAAAATCAGTGACAGGCGTACCGAAAGTGTGTTTTGGCGGAATAATGTAAGCAGTGTGTAATTGGATGTCCTAAAACATCACTCATTTGGTTCTGACTTGCATTGTGTTCTTTGATCAGTTGTTAAAAAAAGTGTTGAAAGATTTTATTTATTTAAAAAAGTTTTAAGTAGGGAGCAGGTGGGGGTGGGAGTGGCGGTGCAGTGCTTGGGTAGGGGCGGTGGCGCTGTGGTTAGCACGCTGCGCTACGAACCCTGTGACCCGAGTTCGATTTCCGCTCATGGCCATCACCAGTGGCGATTATCGCAAACCGGTCCTGGGCCTCCCCTAGGTCGACTCAGCCTCAAATGAGTACCTGGTGCGGTGTGTAAAAAAACCTCGTCACGAGGGAAACAAAGGCGGCCGGGCGTGGTGCTGGCCGCCCAAACCCTTCGTGTGCCATGCCGTAGGCGCTCGCTAACAGCACTTACCCCAACACTCTGTTAAGGCTATAAGGGCGAGCTTTGTCTTTTGCAGTGCTTGGTGCACTGCGCTATGAGCCCAGCAAACTGAATATGTTTCCTGGCCACCAGTTAACATGACTGGCGAATGATATCTAAACAGGTCCTGGTCCCTTCCTGTCCACCAACCCACACTACCAGCATGTGGAAGTGTGCTTAAACCAGCCCCAAAGACTGAGCCTGCATGTGGAGGCCTTAATTGAGCAATTGATTGGCAAAGACATAGAAATTATTGTTAATATTATAATTAAGATCACCCGTGTAGCCTTAACAGGCTGTTGGGGCAAGTGCTGTTAGCGAGCACCCATAAAGGCCGGAACGGTACACGAGGGGGTGGGCGGCCAGCACCATGCCCGACCGCCTTTGTCTCCTCAGTAGCGATGTTTACACACCGCACCAGGTACTCATTTGAGGCTGAGTCGACCTAGGGGAGGCCCTGGACCGGTTCAGATAATCGTCACTGTTGTTGGCCGTGAGCGGGAATCGAACCCGGGTCGCCGGGTTCATAGCGCAGCGTAGCGCTGACCGCTACACTACACACACTCATAGGCAGTTGAGCAGCACATTATTTGCTACTGAGCCTGAGTTCACAGATCAATTCCCACTAAAGTGCCTACAATAGCTGAATCTCGGGTTGCTTGTATATTTAATGCAAAGTCTGTATTTTATCTTAATGGGCCTGTCGCCTGGTTATAAATACCACAGTTTATTTTAGAGTCGTCGTATTAGAGATTTAATTGAAATGTAAATGCAATTTTTTTTACAAAATAGCCTCATGATGGTATGTTAGGAGATGACGATTATTTTTGTGTTATTTGACAATGTTATTTTCAAACATGTCTCTCACCCTTCAGAAATATATCACGTGTAAGCAGGGTTAATGTCAATAATTGACGTAGCTTGTTTGCAAAATGGCTTTATATCTGAGCCACTGGTGAATTGTCACCAATATAGGGCAAGCTTTGCTTGGCACTTTCATTTTCAAAAATGTAATTGAAACCAAAGTTGAGCAGCACCGAAAAGAAAATGCACATTCAATTTTCTCCACGTCGCTCAGTGACCCATATGCTTAAGCCCATTAAAATTTTGATCGGCTGAAGAAACACGGGCACTGCATCCCATTACGTCCCAGTGCACCCTTAACTAACGTTATACCCAGGATAACATTCGACCGAGAGTCCGGCATAGCAGAGTTCAGACAGGTTTGCCACGTGTGCCGTCAGCTTCGTATCGGCTCACGAAGGTCGCCTGATAAATGTCATGGTTTTGGAACTTGCCACGCACGTGCTCCGCGGGGTTGATTGAGGAGCAGACCTCACCTTTGCCGAGCATGAAACCGGTGGGCTCTTCGCACTTAAGTCAATTAGGTGCGACGTTCGCTCTCGGCACTCTAACGCCGTGTCTCTCCCCTCTTTGTTTTCCTCCTCCTCCTCGTGCAGGGAGGAATGGGTGCTGCCCTCCTTTCGGACCCGGAGAAAATCGAGGAGGTGAGTTGCTCATTGCGTGACCTCGCCGCCTCTCATGCTCGCCTAGACGGCCGCTGCGTGCTCTGAGATTGCCGTCAGCGATTCAAGGGAGGAGAGGGAGTGGGGGGGGGCCTTCTGTTGTAAAGGTTGTGACATATCTGACCCACAACTGATAAGGTTTCCTCTCCGCGTGACCCTGGCTTGACAGCGTGATTATTAGCATTTTTTCTTTTCAAACGTAGCGCACGCGTAACAAAAATATCACGATGCAAACTGCATGCGATTCAGTTTGCGTTGGCCCCGCAACAGCAAGGTGAAGCTTTGTGGGGAACCTTGAAGCAACATCAGCTTCAGGCGAGGGTGAACCCCCAAAAACGCCGTTGAGCTTCCACATCATCAGCGTTTCTGGGTAGATCACGTCCCGGTCGCTACGGGAGGGCGACCTCCAGTACCCATACTCAATGTCCACTTGCGCGTTTCGTATCCCGATGTTCCCCACTCTTCAATGGGACATCATTAATAAGCAGTGCTTATAGACATACACCGATTGCACACACCTGCCCGTGTTTTTATATTTGCCTGCGTGCGGCGGATTTCATGTATAATTTTTTTAGAAGAAAATGTTTTTTGAAGGATGTTTCCGAGCAAACGGCTCTTACATTTTTTTCCCCGTGCGGAAACATCAAAGCCGCCCGTGCTGCCATTGTCCAGCGGAAAGGAGACGCCGCTCGTTCTTGTGCCGTGTCTCTACCCCCCCCCCCCTCCGTGTTGGGTTTCACCAGACACCCGTCTGGTAGACTCGCGCCGCAGCCGGGGACATTTGATGACCGTGTTAACTGGACTATTTACATATACGCCCAACCCCCCCCCCCCCCCCCCCCCGGTGCTTAATGTCGGTTTTCAAAAAAAGGACCCGACGTATGAGAACACTTCCCACGGCCTTGTGTGCAATGCAGCACATTTCCTTTGTGCTCGCATCAGGTTTGTACTTAAGCGTTTTGATTGACAGCGTAATTATGGGCGGTTACTCTTCACGTTTTGCCATTTATCTCCATTAGATACGATAATTTGTGCGTGTGTGACCTGATGATTCTGAGATGAAAATACCAGCCCAACCTTTTGTTGGATGTATGAGTACAATTACTCTGACTGACGGAAGGGACTGCCCGTTCCTTTGCTTTGGTGTGGCACGTGCGGCCCATATTCGATTTGGAAGCTGACAAAGAGATGGAGGAGTGAGATGGATTTTGTTTTTGAAACAACGGGGAAAGTTTCTGACGTCTCAAAAAATCGTGGCGGCATTTTTGGGCCCTTCTGTGACTTGCCGTTGGCATTCGGCGTGGATTTTTGATTTTCAGATGACCTTGCTCGTAGGTCGTCTCTGGGCGAGCGAGTGCACGGCACGTCACGGCGGTCTGCTAGGTCATAGCAGGCCCCTCGCTCGCCGAGGTAGACAAAGCGCTTAGCCTTCGGCCCCACGACCTCTCCTGTCGTTTGATGCAAGTCCTAAGTTTTTATTTTGTTTCACCAGAAAGTGACCTGCGTTAACAGCAACAAAAAAGACACGAGCAAAACAAATAAAATAACGTGCGGCAATGCGGCAAAAAAACAATAACTTGTTCACGTGGGAAATTGAAACTATTGCACGAACGTGAATCAGTGTTGAGTAATAAATTACCTGCCCTGTAAGCCGGCTCAGGAACATTATTTCAGAATGGTCATAGCAGAATTAAAATTTAATTTACAGAAATATTAAGTATACGAGTCCGCCTACGACCACATCGCTCGAATCGCCTGATCTCGTCAGATCCTAAAGAAAGCTTTGGCCAGGTGCGGTCCCCTGGAGAGGAGCTCTTCATAGTGGTGTGAGCACGAACTCTCAGGTCTGCACCTTCTCTGTTCAACTGACAGAAATAAAGGAAAGGGCTGGTGGGGTTGGAAGCACGGTGAATGTTTTGCTTGCGACGTAACGTGTCGGCCTTTATAATGGCATCTTCGCCGAACGTAAATAAATGAAAGTTTAATCGCCAATCACTCCGGCTGCGTGTTGTGAAACGCTGAATTACGTTGCAGGGTGCTGTGATGTTGCGTAGGTACAGTAGTCGCCCAGTTAATATTTTTAATTCGTTCCACGAAATCTACTGTAAACCGATATAACTGTTAATTGATTTCACTTGTAAGTTAATAAATACGTAAAAATCACTAAGTCTGCAAGAGAGAGCTGTTTCCACTGCCAAACGGAAAACGCAATGTTAAACGAAGCCAGTCGAGGTGTAAACGCTCATAAATGTGCGTCGCTGATTGGCTGACGGCATGGCTCGGCCCCACTTACGAGCGCTCGGATTGGCCGAAATTGGCGCTCGCGTGAATACCGTGAACGTACCGCGAACCAAAATGTTAACGTGAGTCCAAACCATGGAGTCCTATGGGAGGCGAAACGTTAACCGATAAAAAACGATGGTCACTGTTAACCGAGGGACGAATGTATGTTCAACTTCTTTCGCACCGTACGTAGTCAATCCGTACTAATCGGAGGTGCGTTACAGCAGGCCCCTGGGAACTCTGGAATGTGCCTCCATAGCTGCTGCTGCTGCTGCTGCAAATGGCTTTCACGACAAATACAATTACGTCGCAACTTAAATCGTGCTATGATTCTCGTATTCTCACAGTGTCAAGACCCCTTGACATGTAAAACGAACGCTAATGTGGTTGTTTTTTTTGCGTGGAGATTTTTTTGGTACTCCTTTGCTGTTAAAACAACCAGTTGAAAAATGCTGTTGTCATTGCTGTGATTAAAGTAGAGCTAGTATGTCCAGTTATATATACAGTATGAGAAATCGAGATGTCTACCACGTAATGATCAGTTCCGTGAACTCGACTAATCAGGTAAAAAAGAAGTCACCTCATTGCACATCTGTCGCTGGATGGCGGAGTGATGGTCGGGACTTGGTGATGTCATCCGCATCACCAGCCACATCATGCGGGGCGTGGCTTCGTCGGGGGTTTTCTGCCTTCAGGAGGCAGGATGTTGGGGCGACTGACACTTTTTAAAGGAGTCTGAGTAACCAGATGCGATAAAAGTAATCGATTGCAATCTTTAGTCGATTGGTTAACTTAATCGACTTATTGTCCCAGCTCTAGATTAAAGGCACTCACGCGGTTGAAGAATGCCCTGTATGTCAGACGAAACAAAATTCCTTCTCAGCTCGTCGTCCCTTTTCCCACTCTTTCCCCTTTGCAGCGTTGATAATAAAATTAACTTCCCCGACTTGGCAGGAGGACTTTCTTTTCTCTACCTCGGCAAGCATGGATTGTCACAAACGTCGATTGTGTGTTGAAAAATTCAGAGGTGAGCCGAATTCCCCTGATTGATGTCAGCTCATAAAGAACAGGAGGGGGTCGAGCGACGGTGATTTGCACGAGCGTCCCCTCTCATTTGGAATGTCCCCGTGTGCGTGTTAAATGGCACGTAATTCGCGAGACAAATTGTGTGATTACGACAAGCAAAAGGCCGTGCACCGTAGGTTGTTAAAACCCTTTTTTCTACGCACACCACCGTTCGGGCCAGCTTTTTAATTGCAAATTACGGCGTGCAATCGAGAAAAGCAGCAGCAGCACCGTGGATGGCGGCACTGTAGACAATTAATATGCAAATATATCAGAGGATGCCGCTTGTCGCTCAGCTCCACGGCCGTCGCCCGCCGGCTGTGGGGCTCCGCGTCTTCGCCAGGCCTCAGCGAGGCCTCGGCGTCGCCCGGCGGGAAGGACGCCATGACGATACCTCGCTGCTGACCTCGTCAAAGGAACATAAACCGTCGTCGTGCCAACTCCAGTCAACCTCGCGGCAGCAGCAGCAGCAGCTGGCTGGCCATCGAACGAAGACGGTCACCGCATCGCGCACACGCTCAGGTGCGCTTCTGCAGTCCCGTGGAACCGTCCGATATTAGGAAGCCACTGGAGCAATGCACGTTTAAATCCACGTAGATGGAAAACTAAATTTATTTTCACAGATGTTTGTGTTTAGTTTGTCCTTCCCCTGGCGCACCTCTGATTAGCACGGTTGCCTACGTACGGTGCGAAAGAAGTTCAACATAGACATGTTTACAATCGGGGAAAAAGCAACGTTTCTCCCTACTGCAAAATGACTGCAGACTAGGTGACATGCAGCGGCTTCATGACAGCCTTGTGCTAATAAAAACGGTGCACATACCATGATTATTGGTTCTTTACCCTTCTATCTGGCAACAAAACTGACACCTTTTTGCAAGGAGTCATGTTTGCATAGACCGCAATACCTGCAGTCATAAATACAAACAAAAGACATAACTCTGATAATGTGCACTGTCCTTGAAGTTGATTGGTCCACACCCGAGACAGCTTTCCTTCGAGCCTAGTCTCATATGGGTCGGACCAGATGACGCCAAAAGGCGCACAACTCAAGGACAATGCACCATCAGAGTATGAGAGCTCGGGGCAAGCATCTACACTATGGGGACCTCATTTGCCAGTAAAAATATGATAATTGGTTCTTTACCCTTCTATCTGGCAACAAAACTGACACCTTTTTGCAAGGAGTCATGTTTGCATAGACCGCAATACCTGCAGTCATAAATACAAACAAAAGACATAACTCTGATAATGTGCACTGTCCTTGAAGTTGATTGGTCCACACCCGAGACAGCTTTCCTTCGAGCCTAGTCTCATATGGGTTGGACCAGATGACGCCAAAAGGCGCACAACTCAAGGACAATGCACCATCAGAGTATGAGAGCTCGGGGCAAGCATCTACACTATGGGGACCTCATTTGCCAGTAAAAATATGATAATTGGTTCTTTACCCTTCTATCTGGCAACAAAACTGACACCTTTTTGCAAGGAGTCATGTTTGCATAGACCGCAATACCTGCAGTCATAAATACAAACAAAAGACATAACTCTGATAATGTGCACTGTCCTTGAAGTTGATTGGTCCACACCCGAGACAGCTTTCCTTCGAGCCTAGTCTCATATGGGTTGGACCA